CCACTAAGTTCTTAAAATATTAATACTAGTTTATTTCATGGAGTGAGGATGTAGTGGAAGAGCCTTTGTTTAGCATTTGAGCATGTATATGCATACACACACACACATTCACAATCCTTTGTGATGAAAACAGTAATTTCATTGTTTTGATGTTTATAACCGTCAAGTGATGAGAAACATACATACGGGTAACATTATATGGATTGAACAAATTGTCTTTATATAATATATATATTTAGGAGAGAGAGAGAGAGGGAGAGAGAGAGAGAGAGAGAGAGAGAGAGAGAGAGAGAGAGAGAGAGAGAGAAATAACAACTAAAGAAAGGGACCATAGGCCGTGAGTTTGAGAGAGCACAGAGTAAGGAGCTACACTGGTACACGGTAGGGGCTGGAGGAAAGAAAGGGGGAAATTATGTAATTGTATTTTAATTTCAAAACATAAAATTTGAAAAGAAACATATAAAGAAAAACCTCTTAAAATCTCCCACATGAAGCCCATTATGTTTAGCTTTACTTGTCCCTTAAGTATGTCACGTCTAAAGCACATGGCATAAGGACAACCAAGTCGAAGAAAGAGCAGAAAACAAGGGAAGCCAGGAAACCACGGAAACCCACACAGAGAGCTATTCATAAGAAACTCCCTTTACACTGGGAACTTCTTTTAGGATCGTCCAAGCAGACAATTCCTAGGCATGGTGGTACACACTGTAGTTCCAGGAACTGAGAGGTTGAGACGGGATGATGGTGAGTTTAAAGTTGGCTTAGACTACATGAGACCTTGACTCAAAAAATCAAAACCATCAGTTTAGAACTGAGCTTCATATATGAAATTATATTTTGAGTTTCTATAATATCAGGCCTGCTTTTATAAGATAAAATAAAATTTAAAAATACTTTCATATTTACAATTTCTGAATAAATATTGTTGTACCTGAAAGAATTTTGTCCTACTTGTCATAAGACCAAATGTAGTAGGTTTCCATACACTCACTCACAGTTCTTGCACAATGTAGCAGGGAAATTGATAAGCAAGCACCACTAATGACAGACATTTATATCAAATTCACATAAGTGTTCCTAATTATAAATACAAACATTCCAGCATTATCCACAAGCATATCCCGCTAGTCATGCTTACTACCATTACATATGCCCATTGAAAGGCAATACGTCCTTTCACCTTTCATACACTCGTCAGAAATATTAGAATATCACCAGCTGCCATGAAGGTCACACTGAATTTTGGGTGTTAATTGTGGCAGACTTATGCATGTCACTTAATTTAAAAGTAAGGATGTCACTTTAAATTGTTCTAAAATTTCCCCCTGCTTAAATGAGAACTAAAAATTGACTGAGAGATGATGTTAATGATACTCTTCCATCTACAAAAGAGGATAGGAGCATATAGCATATGAAACAGGAGAGAAAAGCAGTCAGCTGGATCCTCCCATCAAGTTTGACTGCTGAGACAAAGCCACCATGGGGTTGCCACTGACTCCATTAAGAGTGCAGCGCTGCTCACGCATGTCCCAGGCTTGGATCTGGAGCATAATGTGGTATGTGGGGTGAAGGGCAAGGGTTAGGGGGTAAGAAATATTAATTACCTTTCAACAAATGGCACTGAGTATGAAGTTAATGCTAAGGTACATTATCTTCTCAAGGATCAAGTTAAGTATTTGTGTTTTAGTACAAACAATGAAACTGCTCTTAAATTCTAATCATGGAATTTTGAACTCCAGTTAGATTGAAATATATAATTGAGGTATTTGCAATGTAAAAAGAAGATGTTTGTTATATAAATTAATGTGATTGTAAAATAATAAATTCATCCTATTCTTAAAACTTCTGTAGTTTGTTATTAGTAAAAACCAAGTTGTCTGACAGTGCCCAGGAATTTGTACTCCAGTCCCTTGGCTTAGGAGAGGAACAGGCTAGAGGCAAGGAACTCCGTAAGGAAGGTCCCAGTGCACAGAGGGCTCCAGAATGTTAATTGGATTCAATTCAATTCAACAACCTTCACTGAGTACCTACTAAGTACGATTATATGCCGGGGTGCCAGACACAGTGCAGACACTCAGCTCCCATACACTCCCATGTCTCTACTGTGCTTGGTCTGCTTTTTCCTGATACAAGTTCTCACCGTGAGCTCAGGCTGGCCCAGAACCATGTTAAGCTCAACTCATCAGTGGTCTGCCTCTACCTCACAAAGGCTGAAATTATCAGCTTTCCCCACTATAGCAGCTTCCACATCCCATTTCTATCCTGGGCTCTAGAGCTTAAAAGAGAAATTTCATAGACTCTGTTACCAGCAGATTCTGGTTAGATTCTGCCAACTGCCAGCAGCCCCATGAGATTAGAAGGCAGCAAGAAGACAAGGGCCGTCTTTTGTATGTTCTGACAGCTACAGAGAAGGGTGGCCTGCTGGTTCTTGTAAGGTCAACAGTGTGACCTCCGGGGCTGTGACTAATACACCTTTTCTGTGTTCTCCTCCCACTTTCTAGTATTCTAATAATGTTCTTCCATACTCAATTCTCCTGTATTGACTCCTGACTTGGATTCTGTTTTCCCCCTGAACTAAACTGCCATGATGCAAACACTTCCCAGGCAACATGAGTAGATTTCAGACTTTTTCTCTAAAGAATACTTGGTAAATATTTTATGTTTTGTAAGCCACATACTGTGTCTGTCACATAAAGCTAGGAATGGGGGAAAGGAGTGGATTTGGATTACTTGGAAGGATAGATTTGTAGATGGCTCCCTCGTGGCATAGTTTTCCTATTCCTGCAGTAGAGGAAGCTGTTAAGGTCACACATCACTGCAATGTACTGTAGTAACTAATATAGAAAAGCAATGCCCATGTCTGCCTAGCATATACATACTGTATTGACAAAGGAGTTGAGTTAAAAAAAAACAGTAATCAATAGGGTAGCAAGGCATTCTAGAAAAAAATTGTTTAGTGTCATGAAGACATGTGGGGTTAGAGAGAGTCACTTTCACATTTCAGTAAGTATAAGAGTTTGACTCAATGATATACACATGATATAAAACCATGCTACTGTATCAGGGACTCAAAAGTGTGTATATATATATATATCCCTATTAATATGACATACTATCAAAGGAAATCTTTTAAGACTAAAAACACAACTGGGTCCACCAGGAGTTAGATATAGGAGTAGGAGGTGTGTGTGTGTGTGTGTGTGTGTGTGTGTAGGCTGTAGAACAACATGAAGTATCATCCTGAGGAAAAGTGTCCATCTCCTCTGAGATAAGTTCTCTCACTGGCCTGGAGCTAGACTGACTAGGAAACCCCAAGGAGGATCCTCCTGTCTCTCCCTCAGCAGCACAGAGATTACAGTGCATGCCATCACACACACGGTTTTCACTTGAGTGCTGTGATTTCATGTCCTTGTACTTACAAGGTAGATGTTTAACCAAGTGAGACCTCTTCCCAGTCCCACACAAATAATTTTTTAGGGTGATAAGAGATTTTTTTTTAAAAAAATCTTGATTACTGTTTCAGTTAAATAATCATTATGCATTTGTCAAAATTTATAGGAATCTACACCAAAAGTGGATATAATATCTACACATTATCTTTAAAAACATAAAAAAATACTTACCGTGGAAACACGGTATAGTTGGAGGGAGATGGAGATAAGAGAGAAGAAATAAGGATCCAAAGACAGCTACAGCTGGATTCTGAAATTCTTAGTCTGAGAACAAAGATTTTGAAACTCTTCCTCTACTAAACAGTATATGACTCAAGAATTAAGATTTGCAAAGAGTGCAATGAATTTTAGAATTTTATCATTTTAACATTAACATAGAGATAGGAGACATGTAGATCTGCCAGGTATGGTGGTGTGCACCTTTAATCCAAATACTCCATAGACAGAAACAAGTGTATCTCTGTGAATTCAAGACCAGCCAGGGCTACACAGTCAGACCCTGCCTCAAAAAAAAAAAAAAAAAAAAAAAGATATTGGCAGTCACAGTTAATAAAGGGCTGGATGTGGTGGTATTTTACTTGTACTGAAATGTGGTTTTAATTGTATGTTAATAAATAAAGTTGTCTGGGGGTCAGAGCTATTAGAGCCATAGCAAGTGCGTGGCGGCGGTGGCACATGCCTTTAAGGACATGGAGGGCGGTACATTCAGGCAATGATGAGGCAGTCACATGTTTGGGTTTACAACCAATGAGAAGGCAGAACAGCTAGAGTATATAAAGTCATACACACAGGAAGAGGCCCCTTTTTTCGGAGAGCTCTCTTGGCTGAAGAGGATCCCTGAATCAGGAAGGGTGAGGCTCTTAGCTCTGACCTCTTGGCTTTCTTCTCTGAATCGGCTCTGTGTTTCTTATTTGATAAGATGGTTGGTTACATCTACAGCTGGATTATGAAATCTATCCTGGATTAGAAGCTGATATTTTAGAACAGTATATAGGACTCCTCGACTACCATAGAGATAATAGTTGACCATACATCAGCCTGGATAAACTCAAGTCTTTTAGGTCCAGGCTGGATCTTGGGCCTTGTGATATGGAATATGTGCACTAGTCTCCAGTGGCATAACGGAATCTGCCCCCATATGTTTAATTTTAGACCACACAGCCTAGGACTCCTAGTGCAGGTTAGTATCACATAAGATCTGTGTTCATGGTACAGCTGCTTAGGCTGTATGCAAGTCTGACTTTGTTTCTTTGTATATAGGGAGTGGACTATGCACTCTGAAAAATTAACATTTACTAGTTCTGCAAATCTTATTAGTAGGTCTCTCAAAAAAAAAAAAAAAAAAAAACTACTCTAAGTGAATCCCAGGTAAACTGCTTGGCCTATGTTCACATCCCAAGGATGGCCACATTTGTCTGGATCCACAGGGATAGAATCTAGTATTATTACCAATGCACTCGGAATGCTGCCCATCACATCTGCTCACTATTAGATCTAGTGCCCCCTGGAGGACACAATGAACTTAATGGGACAGCAGCAGTTACAGATTTAGGGGAACTGGTACAATGGGAAAATCATTATTTTCCTCTTATTTTGATACAGTTTTGACAGTCTCTCAGAAAAACATATAAAAGGTGTAGTTACGATTCAATTAGAAAATGTGGTATGCTAGTACACTATCTCTACATCATACTATTTAAAAATAGGATGGGAAACAATATACATTACTTTCAGGATGTAAATACATCACAGAGGAGTCTGCTGGTGCCCCAAAGTTCTCTAAGCAGCTATCATTTTCCTTAAGCTTCTCGTAAGATGTTCCACTTAAACAAACATGATTGTTCTATTATAAAACACATTTAAAATTTTTATTTATAACAAAAAAGTTGGAATAAAAACAAAGATTTTCCCTCAGAATAATTAAACCCACAGTATTACTGTAAAGGTAGGACATATGTAAACACTTTATCAAAGCCTCATATTCTTACAGCATGTGGACTTGACTCCTATACTCTATGATCTCATTTTATTTGTTTTAGTAAAAGCTGTTCCATGTCCTACACTATACTTGGTAGCCGAGTCTCTGGAAGACCACTGTGCTCACTCCTTGGATGCACTGTACTATCTGACCAGAGCTATTCTTTATCTTGGGATAAACTAGTTAAGAAACACAGAATCAGCTTTTAGAAGTTCATTACTATTTTGCACAAGACAGTAGTAGACATAGTCATTAAGATGAGTATCTATGTAAATTATATATAAATATAATTGGTTTGATCAGCTGCGAAAATGTCAATGTACATGAAACCATGTTGAACTATTTTTTGTCCCTTTTGAGTTGTTAGCCAAAGAGAAGCACAGTGCTGTGCTAGCATTCTCAGGCAAGGCATCACCTCTTCCTTTATGAAGGCCTCTCCTCTGAAGAGTCCCTCAATCAGCTACTCCAACTTGACTCATTCTTTCCTCACCTTAATGAAGCAGCAGAATAAAGAAGTAGCCCTAGTCCAGACACAAGAAAGCAGGTGTATGGTAGACCTCAAGAAACTCCACTTGAGACAGAGATAGTAACAGTGGAGCATTTGAGGCTTCCTGTTTGCTGGCCACTGTCCTGGCATGTCAAACAAACATGAGTGATGAATGTTGTGCATCCTGTGCACATAACAGGAGGGGGTTAATAACTGGCTCAAGGTCACCTAGCAGTAAGTGGCAGGATCCATATTTTATTATTTTTTAAATAATAAAACCCTAACTGTTCCACCTCTTGCTTATCAAAATGTTAAAGTACATTATTCAATGTGAGAAACAGTTATTTCCTTTACTCAGAGAATGGAGAGAGTAGCATGACTCAGCTAAGATATGAATTAGGGCCAGTGGACAAGGTGACTCAGTGCATAAAAATGCTTGCTGCCCATTCCTGACCTGAGCTCTATCCCTTGGACTCACATGGCAGGAAGTGAGAATTGACTCCTGAAAGTTGTCCTCTAACCTGTGTGCTGTGACACGTGTGCTCTACATACACACATACACCAAACAAACAAATACATACATAAATTCACACACACTCATATAAATGTATAAGTAGAATTAAAATACATAGAAAATGTCAGGAATTGGTTCATTGGTTCATAAACCCCTAGACCTTCTATGTGGGGACATGATTTCATAATAATCAGTGAGAATTTACCTTTGTATTTCAGTAGACTTATGTCTATTAAAAATGGGTCTTATTGACAATTCACACGGACCTTTTGCATGCCATTCACAATTTTGACCAATAGGTAGTTCTCTCACTTAGCAGATGCAAAGATTTATTGAGGGATAACACCAAAAAGGACAGGAAGAGGCAAGATTGGACAGAAGACAGGACAGGTAGACATGACATGCAGACCTGGCAGATTCACTTACTCAATAATGCTCAATAGGGAAGTTAAACAAAAATGACCAGGCCCTAGAGTCAGCAGATATGCTAAGTCATTGGCTGTGGCCTCCTAGGAACACAATGGCCTCAGTTCAAAAGTTGAGAAGATTCTAAAGGCACTTGGAGCTAAAGCTGTCAGCTAACTGTACTCCTCACAATAAAGTGGCAAGTGTTTTTTTCAGGGGTAATTATAATTACCCCCATGACTATTATCATGAGAAATTTCCCTAACTACTTAATAAAGTTAGAGTAACTCTAGAATCACTGTGTTCCTAAAATAGTAGAGGATGCAACATAGTAAGCCCAAGAAGATGTTAGTAAGTGCAGTAAAACAATCTTTTGGAAATCCTACGAGAACTTAGTGGGATTATTAAAGGAGGCAAATCTATAGAATCAACAGCACTTTCTTTCTTTCTTTCTTTTTAAAATAAGAGTCTTTTATTGTCCCCACAGACACCCCAAATTGTACTTAAATGCAGAATCCTGTTTCTGGAGCCGGGTAACTTAGGTCTTACTCATCAGCCCGCGCCACTGTTCCCTTTCCAGACACAAAGATGCCATCCAAAAACTTTCTGATATCCTTGTTTTTAACTGTTGTGGCTTGCTGAATCAGAGCCGCTGAATTTGAAACAAGTTCAATATTCTCTTCAAGGATTAATTCATCCTTCTGGGCTTGAGAGACAGAACAAGAAATGCCTGTCCGCATCCGAACCCTGCGGATGTATTTTTCACCCAAGAAATTTCGGATTTCAAGCAAAGACCCATTCTCCTGAATAACGACGTTGATGAGGAAGTGAGTGCACACAGACCTCATCTTGTAGCGGAAGCCCAGTGTAACACCCTTGATCATGTTCTGAACGTGACTGCAGATGGTGCGGACAGTGGCCAGTTCCTTTCTGTTACCCCACCATTTATCAACCCGGAACCTCTTCTTCCCGAGGAGACTCAGCTCTACATTGCTGTGATTGGAGTCCCTCTGGAGGGTTCCTCTGTGGCCCTTCACAATGACCTTGCACCCCTTCAGAGTGATGTCCACGTTTTCTGGAATGTCGACAGCCTGATTGCTGAGAAAGGTCTTCATTCTCGCAGTAGATGGGGCAAAGTCAACAGCACTTTCTAATGTAAATAAGTACACAGAAAGGCAAATGAAAAACCACACCTTTTACTTAGAAGCAAAGTCTACAAAACACTTCATTGACATAAAGTAGTTCAGTTCTTTAGTAAATATCCAAAAATCTGAAAACAGACACTTGAACAGATGTTTTTCAATCATTTTCATAACAGAACCATCCACAAAAGCTAAAAACTGGAACTGAGTCAAAAGTTCATTGAGGATGAATGGCTAACAGAACAGATCTATTTCTCATGTGCGTGTGCACACGCATTCTTACACAAAATCTGACATATGGTAAAAGGATGAACCTTGAGGGCTTCGTACGAAGTGAAATAGGCCATACTAAACGACAAACAGTGCATGATTTCATGCTGTGAGATACCTCAAGTGCTCAGTTCAGAGCTAGACAAAGGAAAGCAGGGTCTAAAGGGAGTGGAGATAGGAAGGTGATGTTTACTGGGTCAAGGTTTCAATATCAGAAGATGGAAACATTATGGAAATGGATGGTAGTGACAGGTGTAAAACTATTGAATATGCTGATGCCACCGAGTTGTCCACTTAAAGTCAGGAAAAATAAAAATAGTTCAGCTAAGGAGAATAACCCAGAAATCAAGCTGAGTTTATAGTGTGACAACATGGTACCATATTAAAGCGGTTTATCTGAGATATAGTTATTCAGTCAAATGGCCTATAAACTGAAAAAATAAATATGGACTCTGATGTCACATTACAGAAAAACTTAAATCACAAGTTCATTACATATTTAAACATTTAAAAAAAAAGCAGTGTAGTAAATGCTACAGTTTGGATTTGGGATGTACCCAGGAATCCGGGTCACTGTGTCTGTCTCTCTCCCAGCTGCCATGAGCTGCACCAGTTTCCTCTGTGTCATACTTCTGCTATGGTTCCCTGCCTCAGCATACCCAGAAGCAACAAAGCCATCCGGCCCTCTGAACCCATGAGCCAAAATAAGCCTAGCCTCCCTAAAGCTGCTTATCCACAGTACTTCCCAGAGATGGAGTGCTAACACGAACAATACTCATAGAAATGCTTTATGTTTAAGATAAAACTAAACACAGGGTGGTGGTAGCGCACACCCTTAATCCTAGCACTCTGGAGGCAGAGACAGGCATAAGTCTGTGTTTTCGGGGCCATCCTGGTCTACGGAGCGAGTTCACTGACAGCCAAGGCTACACAGAAAAATCCTGTCTTTAAAAAACAAAACAAGGTAGGAGTCCCGAGGGCAGGCCACTCCACCACCGCCACCACCTACTGGACTCTGTATCCTACAAGACCCACTCTGCCACCCAAACCCACTGAACCCATAATCCTCCCCCTGGCCAACCATCCCCTGCAGCATCAGCAGCCCCTAGAGGCACAAGCACCACCTGCACCAACTGGAAGGAGAGGTGAGTGACTGATCTCCCAGCTAAACTGCCCCAATCTCCAGGCCCTAAGTCCCAGGGCACATCCTGTGCCTCTCCCTCTCCCATCTCAGTCACAGCAAGGCAGTTGGTCCCTGTCCCCAACTCTGCTGGAATTTCACTACTCTAGCAAAGTCCTAGCAGCTGGCTAGCAGGTAAGAGACCTGAGGGCAGGCTGCTCCACCACTGCCACCACCCATCAGACTCTATAACTTATAAGACCCACTCTGCTGCCCAAACCTACAGAGCCCATAATCCTCCCCCTGGCCAACCATCCCCTGCAGCATCAGCAGCCCCTAGAGGCACAAGCACCACCTGCACCAATTGGAAGAACAGATCCACTCTGCTGCCTACTGAACCTGATAGAAAAGAAAATGAGATGTTGTGGTTGATATATTGTGCACCCCTGTGGTGGTATTGTGTTCCCCAAAATATTGTGTACCCTAATAAACTTATCTGGGGTCAGAGAACAGAAAAGCCGCTAGATACTTAGGATAGGCTGTGGTAGCACACGCCTTTAATCCTAGCATTCCAGAGGCAGAAATCCATCTGTTCAAGGATACAGCCAAGCATGGTGACTCACGCCTTTAATCCCAGGGAGTGATGGCAAAAACAGAAAGATATATAAGGCGTGAAGACCAGAAACTAGAAGCATTTGGCTGGTTAAGCATTTGGCCTGGTTAAGCTTTTAGCTGGTTAAGCATTCAGGCTTTCTAGCAGCACAGTTCAGCTGAGATCCATTTGGATGAGGACTCAGAAGCTTCCAGTCTGAGGAAACAGGATCAGCTGAGAAGTTGGCCAGGTGAGGTTAGCTGTGGCTTGTTCTGTCTCTCTGATCTTCCAGTGTTCACCCCAATACCTGGCCCAGATTTGTTTTTATTAATAAGACTCTCTAAGATTCATGCTACACACCCCAATAAACTTATCTGGGGGTCAGAGAACAGAATAGCCATAATATTAAACATAGAGGTTAGGCAGTGGTAGCACACGCCTTTAATCCTAGCATTCCAGAGGCAGAGATCCGTCTGGATTTCAGTGAGTTCAAAGCCACACTGGAAACAGCCAGGCATGGTGACTCACGCCTTTAATCCCAGGAAGTGATGGCAGAAAGCAGAAAGGTATATAAGGCATGAGGACAAGGAACTAGAGCTGGTTAAACTTTTAGGCTTTTAGCAGCAGTTCCGCTGAGATCCATTCGGATGAGGACACAGAGGCTTCCAGTCTGAGGAAAAAGGATCAACTGAGGAATTGGCGAGGTGAGGTAGCTGTGGCTTGTTCTGCTTCTGTGATCTTCCAGCATTCACCCCAATACCTGGCTTCACGTTTGATTTTATTAATACGACCTGTTAAGATTTGTGCTACAGAGCCGGCAGGTGGTGGCGCACGCCTTTAATCCCAGCACTCGGGAGGCAGACCCAGGTGGATCTCTGTGCATTGGCACAGGAGACTTTCTGAATATAATACCAGTAGCACAGACACTGAGATCAACAATTAATAAATGAGACCTCCTGAAACTGAAAAGCTTCTGTGAGGCCAAGGACATGGTCAATAAGACAAACTGGCAGCCTACAGAATGGGAAAAGATTTTCATCAACCCCACATCTGACAGAGGGCTGATCTCCAAAATATATAAAGAACTCAAGAATCTATACATTAAAGTATCAAATAATCCAACTAAAAAATGGGGTACAGATTTAAATGGAGAATTCTCAGAAGAATCTCAAATAGTCAAGATACACTTAAAGAATTGTTCAACATCCTTAGCTATCAGGGAAATGCAAATCAAAACAACTCTGAGATACCATCTTACACCTGTCATAATGGCTAAAATCAAGAATGCTAATGACAGCCTATGTGGGAAGGGATGTGGAGTAAGGGGAACATTCCTCCTCTGCTGGTGAGAATACAAACTTGTACAGCCACTTTGGAAATCAGTATGGCAGGTTTCTCAGAAAAGTGGGAATCAACCTACCTCAAGACCAGCTATACTAATCTTGGGCATATACCCAAAGGACTCTCTACCACACCTCAAGGACACCTGCTCAACTATGTTCATAGCAGCATTATTCATAATAGCCAGAACCTGGAAGCAACCTAGATATCCCTCAATTGAAGAATGAGTAAAGCAAATGTGGTACATATATACAATGGAGTATTACTCAGTGGTAAAAAAAAATAACAACATCAAGAAATTTGCAGGTAAATGGTTGGAACTCGAAAAAAATCATCCTGAGTTTGGTAACTCAGACCCAGAAAGACAAACACAGTATATGCTCACTCATAAGTATGTAGATATTAAGTGTAAAGCAAAGGATAGCCAGGCTATAATCCACAGCCCCAAAGAAGCTAGCTAACAAGGAGTACCCTAAGAGGGACACATGGATTGCCCTGGGAAGGGAAAATGGATGAGACTTCCTGGGTAAACTTGGAGTGGAGAAGGGGAGAGGGGAGAGGGTAAGGGATGGGAACATGAGGGATCTGGATGAAACCATCCGGTTGTGGGAAGGGCAGAGAGGGAGAGCAATGAAGAAGATGTCTTGTTAGAGGGGGCCATTACAGGGGTTAGGGAAAAACCTGGTGTCAGGCAAACTCCCAGGAATCCACAAGGATGACCCCAGCTAAGACTCCTAGCAATAGTAGAGAGGGTGCCTGAACTGGCCTCCTGTAATCAGATTAGTGACTACCCTAATTGTCATCATAGAACCTTCATCCAGTAACTGATGGAAGCAGAAGCAGAGATCTCCACCAAGCACTGGGCTGAGCTCTGGGAGTCCAGTTGAAGAGAGGGAGGAGGGATTATATAAGCAAGGAGGTGGTCAAGATGATGATGGGGAAACCCACAGAGACAGCTGATCCGAGCTTGTGGGAGCCCACAGACTCTAGACTGACAGCCAGGGAGCATCCATGGGACCAACCTAGGCCCTCTGCATATGGGTGACAGTTGTGTAGTTTGGTCTGTTTGTGGAGCACCTATCAGTGGGACCAGGATCTGACCCTAGTGCATGAGCTGGCTTTTTGGAATTATTCCCTATGATGGAATGACTTGCTCAGCCTTGATGCAGGGTGGAGGAGCTTGGTTCTGCTGCAACTCGATATGCCATGCTTTGTTGACTCCCATGGGGAGGGGGACTTACCATTTCTGAGGAGTGGATGTGGGGGTAGAAAGGAGGTGGGGGGGAGGGAACAGGAGGAGAGGAGAGAGGGGAAATTGTGGTTAGTATGTAAAATAAATTTAAAAATTAATAAAACGGAAAGAAAAAGAAAAAAAACAACAGATAAAGCTAAAACGCTAGCATTAATGGAATAATATATAAACAAATTTAGCGACTGGGAAAGTAGCACTTTAATTGAAACTGACTAAATGAACTGATGTCTGTGCTACAGGAAGACTCTGTAAAAGGCTGCTACAACAACAATTTAAATGGACAAATTAACATGAAGAGAAAGGCAGTTAAAGAGGGTATCCAAACAGCCAAAGCATCCAGAGTCCACCCCTCTCTCCCTCTCTCTCTCTCTCTCTCTCTCTCTCTCTCTCTCACACACACACACACACACACACACACACACTCACACTCACACACACTCACACAGGCTTTCCCTTCACACCAAAAGGAAAGGAGAGTCTGATTTCCTCCCTCCCCTTGCATCTACACTAACCATGTGGCTTGTTTTCTGAAGTCAGGTAGAATATCCCACGCCACTTTCAACCCTAGGAATTAAGAGGACTGACACCTTCTCTTTCAGCCTTCTGGAATCTATCTGTCATTTATATCAATCCAAGTGTGGCTGGGGAGTGATTTAAAGGGGAAAAAAAAAGATGCCTGGGAGGATGGCAGGGAAGCAGGTAAATCTCATGCCACCCGAACGCCTGTGGGATGTCTCAGTCCTTGCTTCGCTGCTGCTCATGAGTGACAAATGTACTTGTAGTTGAAAAAGATATGTACTTTAAACCATAGTGGGAGGCTATTCCACGGCAGGATTTTATTGTTTGTTTGGTGTGGGGGTGAGCATGTGGCAGCCATGGGGGCTGGTGTTAAGGGTTGGGGTGAGCATGTGGCAGCCACAGGGGTGTGTTAGGGGTTGGGGTGAGCATGTGGCAGCCACAGGGGTGTGTTAGGGGTTGGGGTGAGCATGTGGCAGCCACAGGGGGTGTTAGCGGTTGGGGTGAGCATGTGGCAGCCACAGGTTGATGCTGAGTGTCTTTCTCTGTTGCTCTTCATCTGACTTTTTAAGACAGGTCTCTTACTAAACCTTGAGCACACATTTTCACCTAGATTTCCTGGCCAGTGAGTCAGTTCTCAGGCTCCCCTTTTCTCCGTCCCCTCCAGTGTTGGGGTCACGGAATGTGCTTCTGTACCTGGCTTTTTATGTGTATCTGGGAATTCATACAGATCTTCATGCTTTCACAAGCAGCCTTTTATCCACTGAGACATCTCCCCAACCCCCTGATCCAAGACAAAGTTGCTTCCAGATGAAAATTTGTAATGGACATGACTTAATGAATGGAAAATAATAGTAATTGTGAAGAAATTATATAAGGGACTCTGACATGTCCTTAATGCTTACGACTTTAAGGTTTGGAAAAATGTACTTGTTTGATCAAAGACAACACCATCCCTGTCACGCCCACCTTTGTTTAGGTCTGTATCAGAAGTAAGGTCCAGAGCAATAATCTTCAAAACTGTACTGTCATCCTCCAGAGTGCGGTGATCACTTGGTTCTGTTGCTTCAGGTAGAATGTCTCAGAGGTAGAAGCAGGTGGAGAAAGAGCTGATCATGATATGGCAGACAGAGAGAAGATACAGAAACAGAGAAGGGCTAGAGGCAAGGGAGCCCCACCTCCTCCAGCTAGACCTCAAACGTTGACAAGGCGATGTTCTTCACTTCCCCTCGTTATCGCGTGTGCTGCTTCTGATTCCTCTGTCATATAAGTGGAAATGAGACATAGTTGAGGCACAGGTATCTAAACAGTTATCTGATGTTTTCAAAATAAAAATTGGGGCAGGCAAGATGATACCTGTGACTTGAATTCAATCCCTGGGACCCACATGGCAGATGGAAAGGACTCAAGCTGCCCTCTGACCTCCACGTGTGTGCCGCAGCACAAGTGCCCACACACTTTCATGCCATATATTATTATTTCCAGAGTTTAATCAATCCTCCTGTTTATCACTGATTTTTTTTTTTTTTTTGGTTTTTTGAGACAGGGTTTCTCTGTGTAGCTTTGCGCCTTTCCTAGATCTTGCTCTGTAGACCAGGCTGGCCTTGAACTCACAAAGATCCACCTGCCTCTGCCTCCCAAGTGCTGGTATTAAAGGCGTGCGCCACCACTGCCCAGCAATGTTTTCCACTGATTTGATCTGGTCCCTTTCTTCTATTCCTATGAAAATGGCTATCCTTAGTATGTAATATTTTAGATCTCCTAGAACGTTAAGGCTTGGAGTAAGTGTGTTGAAGTCAATATAATTTATTAGAACTGGTAATAATAACTTGCAGAACAATTTTAAGTAGATAGACTACCTGTCCTAGTAATTCTACTTTGGAAATCACCTAAATTAAAGAGTAAATATTTATGTAAGTTATGAAAATATTACATTAACAAATATGAATAAAAAAGTATTAGTTCTCCAAGTCCTGACAAGGAAGGCTATTTACTACAGTTAAAGCAGGAAAGATGTGAGAAGGGACAGAGAGACAGCTCAGAGGTTAAGTGTGCATGCTGTTCTTGCATATGACAGGAATTCACCTATACCTCCAAATGATCCGATGCCTCTGTCCTCTATGGGCACCTGAACTCAAGCACATATACCTGCACAGAGCCACACACATACACATAACTAAAGATAATGAAAATAAATCCACAAAAGAGAAAAGATGGAAGAAGGTCATTGTCTACATTCAAGAAACAAAGATTTCACTTCATGATAAGAGCACTGAAGCCTTGGAGGAGCAAACAAACCCACGTAGTTCACAACTTTGCAGAATCAGGTGTCAGCCCAGGGCAGCGGCACTGAATGAGCAGGAAGCTTCCGGACCCGAATTCAAGAGCGCCCCCTCCTTCCCGCTCCAGTTCCTGAGCACTGCGGAAGGCCATGCTTCCTTCACACCCCCAGGGCTCATCTTCCTGTCACTGACACTTGTCTTCTTCTCAACAGAAACCGTCCCCGGGTTTGTCCCCAAGTCCCCCACTTGTCTATTTTAAAGCTGTTCCTGCACTTGGTGTTGCAGGCAAGCTCGGCAGTGAGTAAGTTTATACTTGAAACTTCTAGAAGAGCGTGGGTTGGGGGAACAGACAGACTAGCAGGTACCAACAGGGGTGTTTTCTGTTAGTTTGTGCCTGGGTCTAAGCTGGATCAAGGCACCGGTGAAAACGAGCCATTAGATGTATTTCTTATACTACACATATGTCATAAACAGTCTTCTGGAATATGCAGCATAAATTAAAAAACTTAAACTAAATAAAAATAAAAGTTCCATATATAAGAAAAACATGCAAACTCTTTAAGTGTTCTTGCGGATGAAGAAAAAAGTGTCTTTTTACAATTGCCCAGATTTTGGCTGTGAGAGGCAGGAGTGATGTAGAGAGAGGGGCTGAGGAGGAGCAGCAGAGGCGAGCAGGGCAGGAGAGAGAGAGAGAGAGAGAGAGAGAGAGAGAGAGAGAGAGAGAGAGAGAGACAGAGAGAGAGAGACAGAGAGACAGAGAGACAGAGAGACAGAGAGACAGAGAGACAGAGAGAGCGCGCAGAGGGAAGGTGTAGAGAGAAAGATGTGGAGGCAGTGAAAGTGAATGAGAGAAGCTGCTGAGTAGAGAATGAGAAGGGATGAAGAGCTAATGAGGAAGCTGTGGAGAGATTTTTTTCAGAGAGAATTTTTCAGGATGAAGTAAAGAGAAATTTACCATCAAAAAAAAAGAAATAAAAGAAAAAAGAAAAAGAAAAAAGTGTCTTTTAATAAAAACTGCCAAATACCTAGTAATAAAAGTACCTACGAAGCATGGAATCCCTTTAAGGAAAAAAACCTAGAAAACTTCCATCAGCTACCTAAAGGACATCACTCAAGACGGTAATGGCACCGGAGCTATAGCGAGTTGTATATATACACATATTTCCGAGTTCTTAAAGATACAACAACTACATTGAAACAATCAAACTCTATCAATGTTTATGAGAACCTTCCGTAGGGTGCTCTACCAACCCCAAGCCTGACAGGCGAGGCCAGGTCATTCGTCATCACAAAAGCTGCAAGAATTTGTCATCTCTCTGTAAAAGTGGAGACAGGAAAAACTAAGCCGTCCAACTCATCAAAATGAACAACAAACAGCTGAAGGGAGGCAGCCAGACCATTTGAGAACTGTAGATGCTGAATCTAATTCCAGGTGAGCAAGGGGGTCCTGACAGGTACTGCAGAGAACCCACGAATTAAACACTGAGTCACCAAGGGCTCTGAGGAAGAAGCATGCTCTTGCCCAGTGCCATGATTGACTAAGCCAGGCAAAGAGGCCCACACGCAAGGCCTGCCCGGGCTTTGAGGAGAAATCATCGGCTGGCCTGGCACCTTGGGGCACTATTATCGTGAGCAAATGTATGGTGTGTTATGGTGGAGAGAGAGACAGGGACAGAATGGTTCATTGCCTGTGGACAGAGGCGTATCTGAAGAGGTGGAAGTGAGGAGTGGGCTGAAGTGGGTGGCTTGATTGCCACTCAGTGACATGGTGATGTCTGGGCCGGGGCTGCTACCGGGGGCCATGCCTAAGTCCATGACCCTGATACAGGCAAGATCTTTGCTGATGTCCAATGTCCTTATACCACCAAAGGCAGAGAGGATAGGGCTGTGTAGAGCTGGTCCCGCCCCTCACCGGCCACAACACTGGGAAGAACTGGCCCCGCCTCTCACCTGCTGAAGTACTCAAGAGAGAGGGTCCTACACCTCACCTGGGCAGCACAGCAGAACTGACCCTGTTCGCAGGGGCACAGGCAAGATGGCCCTGAGGGTGTGAGAATGGGAGAGCAGGTCGTTCCATTTTTGTCTGTCATGTGCCAGCGTGGGTGAGGGAAAGATGCCCTCCTCCCCTCACCCCTCTCCACCTTCAGAAGGTGGGGGACCTGACCCAACCTCTCATCTCCTACCCTAGTCAGGAGAATGGATCCTCTGCCTTGCCTAGGCAACACAGTAGAGTTGACCCTGAAGACAGGGATAGGGTGAGCCAGGCCAGAGGGTGTGAGAAGGGCATAGTGGACACTGCCTCCCTTGTCTGTGGTGTGGTGGTAGGAGCAAGGGAAAGATGTCCTCCCTCTTCCCTTACTGCCTCCAGCTGGCCTGGGAGCTGACCCCTTTACCAGCTGCAACACTCTGGAAATTGGGCCCTGCACCTCATCTGGACAGCACAGTGGAGCTGACGCTGTTGAGCCTGCCAAGAATGTGAGCACAGGTGAGCCCACCAAGAATGGGAGCATGGGGAACCTGGCCCTTCGCCTCATTTGCTATATGGTGGTGTGGACAGGAGAGCTGTCCCTGGCCCTCATTAGCTGCAGCATTCTGGAGAGTGGCCCCTACACCTCGACTGGGCAACACAGTAGAGCAACACAGTCTGATGGTATCAGTGTGGGAGAACCGGCCCTGAAGACATGAAAGCCAGAGAAAGCCACCCCGCTTGCTCATTGCCGCAAGAGGTGACCTAGCCAGGACATGCTGGAGATCTCACCGAAATGGCGAAGACAGGGGAGAGCTGGTGGGCTGACCAACCCTGCAACTACCCAGGCCCAGAACCAGGGTTAAGTGTTGGCCCACCCCAAAATCCACCCCGTCTATGATCTGTGGGCAGGGGATGGTCCTGCAGAGCCCAGGCTACAGGATTTCCACAACACAGGGCAGCAGCGGATGTCCAGGAAGAGGTGCAGTGAGGAGCCCAGTGTCAATAGTGTAACAGAGACTCTTTGTGATGAACGCCTGAATGTAAAGATATACGGATAAAGGAACTTACTTTGTGACTCACTGTGTCATACTGCAGCTTCGATGACGAGATTTTTCCCTTTTCTTTTTTCTTTTTTTCACCTTTTTTAATCTTAAATTTTATTCTGTTTTGATTTTGGGGAGAGGTTGCAGGAGCAGAGGGTGAATGCAAGGGGACAGGAGAGGTGGGGTCAGGATGCACGAAGTGAAAGACACAAAGAATAAATAAAAAAAAGAAAGTTTAAAAAAAAAAAAACAAGTCACTAAGGCTCCTCCAGGACAGTTCCCGTGCTGAAGAGAACGAGAGTGAAGCAGAAATTGAGCAGCAAAGAAGGACAGACGAAGAGAAGAAGTGGTCTGGAAGAGGCCAGGGGCAGGGTCTGCGGCCACGGCTGAGAGACGAACAAAGCAAATCTTCTCTCTGAAGAGTGTCTGTACACGTGGGCAAGTGAACAGAAGAACCATTTCAGCAGCCGCAAAGCACACAAAGGCATGTGGCATTTGGAGAAGTGATATGCTTGTGCACCTGACGAACTCGGGGTAAGAGCAGGGGGACTGCCTGACCGCAGACCTGGGCTGCTCCTGCCATAAGCTCTATGTTATACACCAGGGTTCTTCAGGTGGGCAGTCTGCATGGACCGAAAGCTCCTCAGCTGTACTCAAAAGATGTTTGCTCACTTTCCAGCGACAAGCGGTGCTGTGTCAGAGGCGCCGCCGCCGGCCGCAGTAACTTCCCCAAGACTGGCTGGATGAAGACGTCCGATGGCGACTTTACTCACCCAAGGTTGCTGCCCTGAGACGGCAATTCTGTCCTTGTATGATGGAGAAGCGACAGTTACCAGTTACTCACTCCTGGGAATGTACTCCTCTGTGCACACGGAAGGCATGAGGGCTCTGTGGGAAGGGGAATTGGCCAGTTGTTAAAACTGATTATATGTGTTCCCCTGCTTCCACACAAATCCATCTGTAGATGACACAAGTCTCAATGGCTCAGAGCATTTGAACACAGTTTCTGTCTATTAATGGCACATTGCTAAGTGATACAGATGGGGGACAATTCCTAGAAAGTTAAGTGTAAGTTTTAATAAGAGAGACATTAATGCTAATAATACCGTACAAGAGAGAGAAAGTACACAGAATAAACCAGACTAGTTACTAAACAAAGACACAAAAAACTCTAACAACAGCCTATGGTGGGGAGAAGATACACTCCAAACTGTTACATCACCTGAAATGCCTATCTTTCCACTGAAATTATAATTTTATGCAATAAAACACAAGATTACTACTTACAAAGGAAAAAAAATTAAAGCAATTAATGGTAACTGATTCTGAGTAGCTTCAGGCACTGCAGATGTATTTAGCAAAGTGCCTTAGTTCTTTTCCTGTTCCTGCTCCAGATGTATTTAGCAAAGTGCCTTAGTTCTTTTCTTGTTGCTGTAGTAAAACACTGACAAAAGCAACTTGAGGGAGAAAGGGCTTATTCTGGCTCACAGTTGAAGGGTGATCAGTCACAGCAGGAAAATCAAGGCTGCAGGAGCTTGAGGTCATACTGCACCTGAAGCCAAGAGGCAGGGAGCAAATGAAATGCACACACATGCTGCTCAAGTCTCTTTTTCCAGTTATACAGTCCAGGATCCAACCGAGGGAATGGTTCCGCCCACAGTAGAGGGTCTTCCCATCTCAATTAAGACAATCAAGATAACCCCCACAGTTGTGCCCAGAAGCCCATCTCTTATGCTGTTTCTGGATTCTAGATCTGTTAACTACCATAATTCTATCCTGTAGCAGGAATCTTAAAAGTTCTTATTAATAAAAACAAACCTGGAGCCAGTTATTGGGGTGAATGCTGGAAGATCAGAGAAGCAGAACAAGCCACAGCTACCTCACCTTGCCAATTCCTCAGCTGATCCTGTTTCTTCAGACTGGAAGCCTCTGAATCCTCATCCAAATGAATCTCAGCTGAACTGCTGCTCCAAAGCCTAAAAGCTTAAACAGCCAAATCTGACCTCTTGGGCTTTTAACTCTGCAATTGGCTCTGTGTTTCTTATTTAATAAGGCGGTTACATGTACACTATCCCTTGTCAACTTGACACCAGAATACCTTACTTTTAAGCCATAATCTTCCATCCCTTACCCTCATAGGCTCACACCAACGTTACAGTGTAAAAATACATCCATCCTGCCTGGTTTCCTGACTGTGGTTGTGATGTGACCGACTATTTCTAGTTCTTGTTGCTTTGACTTCTAGCCATTGTGGACTGTACCTGAACTGCGAGCTAAAATAACTCCTTTCTTTCTTGAGTTGCTTTGTTATTTTGTTATGGCAACAAGAGAAGAACTAAGACACTAAGATTTTAAAGCAGCTGCCTGTAAATATGTTCAAAGAACTAAAGAAAGCCACATATAAAGAACTGAAGTATAATAAAGAATTAACCAAAAGACTCTCAGATGGGATGGAGAATTTTTTTTTTAACAAAGAGAACCAAATAGAAATTCTTGAATTTCAGAGTACAACTACAATTTTCTGAGGGCTCACTGGTGTATACAAAATAGAGAAACAAACAAACAGAGAACTTACTGATGGACCAAAAGAAATTACATAGTCTGAACTCAGAAAAACAATTCAGACTGAAGAGTAGATATCACTAATAACATACACAGTAGAAGTCTTCCCAGATGAAGGAGTAAAAGGACAGAGAATGTGAGAATACAATCTGACACGCTTAAAAAGAAAGCATAAATCTAAACCAAGAAACTGAACAATCTTCAACTAACATGAATTCAAAAATCTCCATCTGTATTATCAAAAGTGAGAGATGGCTCAGAGGTTAAGAGCACCAGCAACTCTTCCAGAGGTCCTGAGTTCAATTCCCAGCAACCACATGGTGACTCACAACCATCTATAATGAGATCTGGTGCCCCTCTTCTGGGGTGTAGGAATATATGCAGACAGAACATTGTATACGTAATAAATAAATAAATCTTTAAAAAAAAAGTAGACTCTCACCATATCTATATTTCACAGGAAGCAGAAGGAAAGAAAATGCAGTAAATCTATTTTCTTATAAACCAATGAGGTAGAAATTGCATACAGAATTTATACTCAACAGAAGGAAGTTAGTCCCATGGCAATAGTCTGTTATGACAATGGAGAATACAGTCATTTGCTGGTACTACCTGGGAGAAGAAAATAGAACTTTTGGTATAACTGGAAACTGATTATCCAAATCTCTGTACACACTTTCATCACACACAGACAGGGCTCAGCCTCCTCTATGGACTATAATTTAAGATTTCCTTTAGTCCTAAACCCAGAAATATAAAGGCTACAATGTTCACACTATTCAGTTCCATATGAGACTCAACACAGCTCCTTGAACAATATACTAATTAGAGTTTGATCCCTAATTGACAATAGTGGAAAACATTTTTCATAAATGAAGAATGGGAAATACAGAATACATATCCACAGGCATATCGAAAGTCATACTGGAAAAGATTACCAAGAGTACATTGACCTGGTACTAGATAGGGTACCTTGGTTACACCCTGGTCTAGTATCTTAGAAAAATTCCCCTTTCACCCATGGAATTATTATTATTACTATTACTATTATATTATTATTATTATTATTATTATTATTATTATTATTATTATTATTATTATTATTATTATAGTTTGTTCCTTGTTCATAATCTTATGTGGCCACATCTGATTTTCAATAGAACTTGGGTCATGTAAACTGGGAATTAGGAAGTGGTATTTTTTTTTTTTTTGGTTTTTTGAGACAGGGTTTCTCTGTGTAGCTTTGCGCCTTTCCTGGGACTCACTTGGTAGCCCAGGCTGGCCTCGAACTCACAGAGATCCGCCTGGCTCTGCCTCCCAAGTGCTGGGATTAAAGGCGTGCGCCACCACCGCCCGGCGGAAGTGGTATATTTTAATAGCTTGCTTACAAGTTTGCTTGCAGTGTGTTCCCAAAGCGCCTCAGCAGGTGTAGACTGTATTTACTCCCTGACTGTTAGTAATGACAGGGAACTTTTTGGCTTGACAATTCCTATGCTTGTCTTTTTCTCAACGTCTTGGCTTCATTCTTCACTCTTATTATAATGGTGAGTACTTCAAGGTTATCTAAAACAACAGGCTTAGGTTTGAATAAAACATGTTTAATTAGGTCTTTTTCAAAGAACTGACTTCCTTCCATTAAGGAGGCTTTAGGGAGAGACTTTAAGACGTAGCTTTATCTTGTGTTACTTCTTATCAGACATTACTGAAAGCAACAGCAAGTATGTGTTGGCTGCTCTTCCTGCTTTTAGCAAGGTATTAGAAGAAAAAGATGAGCTAAGCCAAAAATATGCCAGTTTGCAAGCAGAGAAGGAAGGGGAGAGAGAATGCAGAAATCTGAGCTTCACAGCCTGGAAAAGCCAACTGCTCTGCACCCCAAACAACCCAAGGCCCACTGCCTCACCACTAAGTCCTAAATTCTGCTAAGCCAAATGCTCTGTGTTTAGTGCCTTGTGGGACTCCAGTTTCAGAGACTGATTTAGTTAAGGTTAGGGCTAATACTATAAAGAAGAGAGCTAAAAATACAAAGGGTTAAATAACACAAATTTCTAACTCTTGCAACACTCCTGAACTATGCAATCAGGCACATGGCTGTCATCCACTTAGTCATTCAGGGACACATTCTTATCCCAAAGTCATTTCCTGTGAGCTGCATTTGTAGGGTCAAATGTAATGATGTCACCCACTTCCTAACATCAGGAAAGAAAATAAGTCCAAGAAAGGCATCACTCAAAACATTGATGAGAACTTGACAAATGGCCATATCTAGTCACATGGGACCAGAGTACTGTAGTCTCTGGACAGCATTTATTCAAGAAAAGAAGCTAATTTTCAGAGACAAATCCCTTGTCTCTATATATAAGAATCTTATAATATAGTAAACACAGTTATTTTCTGCTCAACTTTAGCCTTTTACCTTAGAATTTTACTTTTACTTTCTTCTATATATTACTTATACAATTATATATTAACATTCTATATATTAATTATACAAAATGATGAGTTTTATTATGACATTTTCAAGCATGTATATTTGATCACACACACTCTATTATCTTCTCTCGATCCTTCTGTTCCCACGGATCCCTTTCCTCTTACCAAACAATCCCCCTGCTTTCATGTCTTTTAAAAGAAATCTGTATTCTTCTTACAAGAAGAAATGTGTGATGTTTCTCTGAATTTGACTTACTTCATTTAACATAATGATGCTATGTTTTACCCATTTCCTGCAACTGACATAATTCTGTTCTTCTTTGTGGCTGAATGAAACTCCATTGTGTACATGCGCTACATTTTCTGTATTCATTCATCTGCTGATTGACGCACAGGCTAACTTGTCTATTGGGAATAGTGCTGTAATCCCTGGTTATGTGCTGACTTATATTCCGTCATGTATATACCAAGGAGTGGTGTAGATGGATTATACCTTAATTTTTTATTTCTGAGGACCTTTCACACTGATTTCCATAGTGGCCACATCATTTTGCATCTCACGGTGCAGAAAGGTCCTGTTTTCTCTGTTTCCTTATCACCTTCTCTTGTTTTCTTGGTAATGATCATTATGGACCAGGTTAGATGGGAATACAATGTCATCCTCTTACCTTATTGAAAATATTTCAAATTAAATAACGGTTGGTTTACTTTATGTAAATGTTAGCAGTATGGGCATGTTTGTTGTATACTTTTGTATTGTATTACTCTTTTATTGCTATGTGACAAACTACTACAAGTTGACCAGCTTGAATCCATGTTCATTCATTAGTTCAGAGTTCTCTAGGCCAGAAGGTGGTCATGGCACTTAGGGCTCCCAGCTCAGAGTCTAAAGTGAC